TGTGGGATTTCAGCTGTTGAGACCAGCAAAGTCTTATAGATGTGTCATTCTAATCCTTGGCTATGTTTTTGATTACGAGTGTTTTGTTCCTTTTGTATTTATAAAGGAAACATTTTTTAGTGTTTCTATGTTATTAAACCTGCTTGCTTGGAAATCAAGCAATTGGAACATTTTTTCCTACCAAAATCAATAAATGTTGTGTCTCTGTAGCACCTAGCAGTTTATGGTGCTTTTGCTTTTTAAGGGCCAATTTTTCAAATGTTTTTTATAATGAGTACTCCAAGTCATTAGCACTCTTTGACTTGAGATCTGTTTAACTGCAGATTCTTTGAAGTAATGCTGGAAATGCAGGACTTATACATAAGCCTTGGATAGAAATAAAGCAGTTCAATGGATCTTCATGAATAGTAGGCTGAATAAAATGGGAGGGGGATATGTTTGGTGTTTAAAATTATCTCTGGTGTTAGACATGGAACATTAAAATGTACAAAGATATATCTGTACCAGAAATCATAATGCTTCAATAAAAGTTTGCTTTCTAAGCTGTTGCAAATAGTAAAAATGCTACTACCCTGACTTAGATAATTCTGCTTTGTGTTTATAACAACGAAGCCTTGATATGAATTAACCGATGTTACCTGTATTTCCTCAATAGTCCCTATGTGCTACTGAATGCCAAGATGATTCAAGAAAATTAAATCTACTGGAAATGCTATTCTTGTTAATCAAACTAGAACTCTGTTTCTATTCAATGAAAAAGCATGATAATTAAGAATGAAAACTGATATTAAAAATCTTTAAAAGTTTCTCAAATTGTAATACTGTATAATTAAGGTTAGAACGTTGTAAAGCTTCATAAGATTTTTACTACAGGCTTTAATTTTAAAGACTGGTTTATTGTTCAGCGATAAAAATTTCTGAAATCTTCAAAACTGAATTTACAGATACACTGTATGTTGGAGGGGGTAAGGAGCAAAGTTTTATGTGTTCTGCTTATTTTTTGCTTACTATAACATATTAACTTGGATTGGTCTACAGTCGACTATGTAACTCTGGACTTTGTGCCCTCATGTATGAATTTTTATTTTACAAATCTTACAGGCTATTCCAATACATTTGCTAATATGTTACCCTCATCATGGCTTCTACTGTATATTAATGCTCAGGTTTGCAATTGGCCCCTAGAATATAAGTACAAACTTCAGAATCCATAAATTTTAATGTAATTGGACTCCATCTAAAGTTAGTAATTAAGGATTTCAAGGTAGGGTGTTTTTTTAAAAAAAAAAAAAGAAAAAGAAAGAAAGCAGAGCAAAACGGAACATCAAGTAGAAAATAAAACTCAATGAGACAACCAAGATTGGTGAAGGTGTTCCCCAAATAAATTCACCGTTGACCCACCATTCCATCCATTTCAAGGGCCATGTTCCTACCCATTTATCAGCTGTGAGGCATACCAGATGGGGGAGACAGTTATGAAATGTATATGGGTGGCAAAAGAATGACTATAAGCGTGATTTAAAAATAGTGTACAGTAGTATTGCAAAAAGCATTGCTTTATTAAAGATAGTATACATTGGTAGGTCATTTTTAGATCTTGCTACCGGTTTATAATGGAACCATATATAATTGACAGAGACCTGATTATTTGCCCTGTGAAGTAAATTTCTTGGATAAAATTTCTGCCTTTTAACTCTAATCATCAAGCTTGCACAATCTATGAAGTAGCTAACATCATTCTCACAAGTTTGTCCATGGCTTCATTAGCTCCATTTTCTAGTCCAGACATGTTGGACTGAGATAAAATGTGATTGGGTAACCTTTAGTTCAATATTTCGTATGAGCTTAATTCAAAACAATCACCAGACCAGATTGGAACAAACTAGATAAAAATGTCCATTATAGTAATCCTTGGCATAGGACTGTAATGGAACCTGTCCATTACAGTCGTATAGCATGATGGTTTTTAAAGTGGCCATGTGATTTAATTTTTTGGTGGCAATTAAAGCAAATATGACAGTTGTAAAACAAACTGAGTTAAGTGAATCCATTGTTATAATGATTTTGCTGAGAACAATCACATGATCACAGGATGTTATAAGTAGCCATAAATGTGGCCATGTTGCTAAGTACCTCTTAAAGTGTGGTCATGTGATTGCATGAGTGGTGGTGAACAGACCAAAACTTCAGAACCAGATTGTAAGCCCTGTTTTCCAGATAGGTTGTAACTTTGAATGGTCACTAAGTGACCAGCTATAAGCCAAGGACTACCTATATATTGTTCACTATTTTGTGGCACGTCAGAACATACAATGACTGATGTACCGGTATCTACAAATTACCAAAGAGAATTTTTTAAAAAGATGACAATTGGAAATGCTTATACAGAATCAAGATCATCTATCTATTAGGCCATATATATAAACTTCGATAAGATAAGACAAACCAAATAGAAGCATATATGACAGTGGTGGCGAACCTATGGCACGGGTGCCAGAGGCGGCACTCAGAGCCCTCTCTGTGGGCACGCGCGCCGTCGCCCCAGTTCTAGGCCTTCAGCTGGGTTTTATAAAACCTTTTCGCTTTAGGCCTCCGCCGCCGTGTGCAAAAAAAAAAGGTTCAATCAATCAGTCAATTTCAACTTCTCGCGGGAAAAAAAATCTTGCAAAGTTGGAATTGATTGATTGAACTTTTTAGTCCCACCCAGTCTGCCGTTACCACCGCAGCCACGCCCAGCCAATGGGCCACACCCAGCCAATGGGCCACACCCAGCCAATGGGCCACACCCACCCGGCACTCGACGATGCATAAGTGGGTTTTGGGTTTCAGTTTGGGCACTCGGTCTCTAAAAGGTTCACCATCACTGATATATGATAACCTGGATGCAAAACTTCAAAGATCCGATAAAACAACAGGAGGTATTGTGGAACAAATAAGTGTTTACCAGTGCTTTTTTGTGTAAAAAAAAAAAAAGTGCCTGAACTCACACACATCATACAACCCGCCTTGCCTACCCTACAAGGTTCCATCCAAAAAAGATGCCGGAACTCCGTTCTGAGCCTTCTATGACAAAAAAAGCCCTGGTGTTTACAAACTGCTTTCAGCGAGAACTGATATAAAATGTTTTACAGATGACATTCAACCCTGTCAATAATTGCTAAAATAGACAACTGATATAATAAATGCTGGAACTATCATGTGACAAGGAACACCCAAAAGTATTGAAAATTGAAAAAGTGTACACGGCACAGTTCAGAGAATCTTAAGGAACAAATTGGAAATGAAATCATTTTTTTCCTGAGTAGGTATAAGTTCAGAACATAAACATTTTTATTTCTTTTTCAAGTCTGTTTCCACCAATTTTTCATTACTGGCACATAATTTTTTACAGATGTTCCAATGAATCATTTTGGTGACGTGCAGCCTTCCATCCTTCCAAGTAAAATGAGGACCCAGATTGTTGAGGGAAATATGCTGATGGTAAACCATTTATTAGTGCTATAAAGCACTATGAAGCGGCATGTAAAACTAAGTGCTATTGCTATTCATAATCAGTTTGTGTGGTCTTGCACAAGCTTAGTATATGACATGCAGTTTCTTCTGCTTCTTTGCACAATCTGCAATTTGAATTATTAGGCGATTTTTTCCAATTCTGGCCTTGGCTGGATTGGTTCAAATAGTTTGGTTTTGCACAGCCAAAATCAACCTTCCAGTTTCTCTTTTTAATGTTCCAATTGTAAGCCATTGCTAGCTTTTATCTTTATCCACTTTCCCCTTGATCTTTTGAAAAAATTACCATGTAATGGTTTTCTTCCCTGCATTCTGTTCTTGTTTGTATTACATTATTCTGATGTTTTGTTTCCTGCACATTCAGTAAATTTCAGTTTTTAATTTGCATCAGTGCTTGTTCTTGGCTTTTACATGGAATCAGCAATGCATGCTTTTTTTTTCTTCAACAGTTTGACCTAAAGTAAACTTCTGCCTCCATTTCTCCAGGGCAGGTATAATCCATATCATAGTGGAGGTGTAATACATGGTTAATAGTCATTAGCTATTTCTGTCCGAATTGTCCAGCTAAGCTTATTTCCAGTTAATAATTCCAGCAATGAATTGTATCACGAGTATGGTCCAGGCTTTGATGGTGTTTCTACCATTTGATCTTATTTTATTTTAAAAAATATTAAAATTTAAAAAATTATGAAGTCAATCCCTACGTTGTAGAAACGTTGTCAGCTACACAACTGCAGTAGGATTTCTCATCCCTAGTGATGCTAATGGGCAGAGCTGTTCCCCACCCTAATACCTTCACAGTAAATTTCTTACAACAAATAACAGATAAAGCAGATGAAACTGATTTAATAAAGAGGTTTTGCAGAAATAAAATCATAGGATGTGGGAACAACAAAGTATAAACCACAGGACAAAGTTAGAGGGAAGTATTTCTTTTTTCAAACACTCAATCACCCTTCTCTAAAAATTAAAAACTGGGAGACTGCTTCTGATTGATGAATTAAGTGCCACAAAATTATCGTCGACTCTTAATGTCTAAATTGATGCTCTCCATCACCTGTCCTTAGCCTGTCCAATCTGTATTCATTACAACTGTAACTTGAGTCCATCCACCTTGCTGCTTGGTCGTTTTCTTCTTCCAGCCACCTTTCCCAACAAACATCCGTCTTCTCCAGAGAGCTGACTCTTACATGATACTAGGATAATTTAAGCCTAATTCATTTGTATTTCGAGAGAAAATTCTGGGCTAAGAGACGCTTCTACCGAATCGTAAAGGAGGAAAAAGCAATGTTTGCAGGCGAACTAGAGTGCTTCGGACTACTTATTCTGCGCACCAGGCGCTTATCCCCGGTGAACGGATCCACTGTTTCCTCAATCCGACTAAGTCGTGAAGAAGCCGTGGTAAATAAAACAAGGGCGCTAAGCTCGAAGTTCGCGCCAACCCACAACACAAAACTCCCCCTCCGCCCGCCTGGCGGCGCTTCTGCCTCGGAAGACGTGAGATGTTTCGGCTGAGATGGCGGCGGGAGCGTCACGTGAAACTGGCGGAGGCCCTGGTAGCATGGAAGCGGCGGGTGGGGCACAGGAAGCCGAAGAGGTCGAGGTGGGTTTAAGGGGGAGAGCCCAGCGGGATGCGATCGCGTGCATTGCAAGATGCCTCTGAGCGGCGTCCAAACGACCGTCGGGGAAGGGGACTTCCTCTCCTTCGGGATCGCCGAGTCTCGAAAGATGTCGCGGGGGATTTCGCTGCCTGCGGGTTGCCTTGCAGCCAACGTACCAATACAGGAGAATATTTGTAGCTCAGGTTTGAAATGAGGGGTCCTTGGTGCCCGCTGAGCTTGATTATTTTCTTGCAGACGTTTCGTTACCCAAACTAGGTAACAGCATCAGTGCTAGGATGTTACCTAGTTTGGGTAATATAAAGTCTGCAAAGAAGCACGAGAGCACCAAGGACCCTTCGCTTTTCAATGTGTTATGCTGCATTAATGCCACACAACACCTGCAGCAAATAAGAGCGCTCGCAAGTCCACTTATAGGCTGGCTGGCTGGCTGGCTTTTACGAAAGGAAGAATTGATGAAAGAAAGAAAGAAAGGATCTTCAGCCTATTCCTTCCTAAGGTGAATCCCCACCTCAGTGTAAGCCCCACTTCATCTGTAAGGAGGCGCCGAGGCTCATAAGGAGCACTGCTGCTTATCGTCCTTGTTTTGAGCCGTCTCGGGGCAGTTGAAATACTTCAGCTTTTCCCAATTTGCAGTCCTCCAGATGTTTTAGACGTTGGTTCCCATATAAGCCTTAACCAGCACTGCTGGCTGGGCCTTGAAAGCGTGACATCTGTCCGTGGTTGATTCATGAGCGCAGCTCTCTAGAAGTGGAATCCTTTTCTATAGCTTGGGAGGAATCTGGATCTCATGAGATCTAGCCCTTTTCCCTTTGAAAAAAAAGGGGGGCACCTTAGGATATAAATATTTAATTTGTATTTTATTTCATTTACTTGGTAACTTTAACATATTTACTACCCTTATTAGAAAGAAATAACTTTCATCACCAAATGTGGAGAATTGTCTTTCCAAATTGCACATATGTAATCTTTTTAAGGGTGCGATGTAGAATGACAGAACATAGTTCTGTTCTATATTCCAATTAATTTATGTAAGTTTGTCCTGTATGTGTTAACTGTTAAGAGTAGTGAAGCGATATAGAGGCAATATAAAAAATCAACTTTTTTGAGGGGGAGGGGAAATGTTAAGTTTGAAATACCATGGTTACTTATTCTTCTGCTAGATTTAATCCCCACTAAAGGCAGCTTATATGGTGGCATGCATAAAATCCTACATTATTGTTTTCTTACAACCACCCTGTGGAATAGATCTGGCAGAGAGAGAGAGTGACTACTTACACTGTGAACAAGAAGAAAACAAACCCTAGATCTCTCTCGTGCTAATTCCTATACCATATTAGCTCATTTGGTTCTTTAGTGACAAGGATAAACCAATATCAGAGGAAGATACAAATAACTTCCACAGTATTTTACATTTGGATGAAATGATAGAGAAAGCATTGGCTAGCTGCTTTTTCATAGTGTCATAGTCATACTTAAACATCCATATTGCAACGTAAGAAATGATGATTGGGGTATAGTGTGTCTTCTTCAACAAATGTCTATGACAGGGGTTCCCAACCAGGGGTGCTTGCACCCCCGGGGGTGTGAGACGATATTCCAGGGGGTACGAAAACTTGGGTTTTCAAAATTATAGTGTATATGCATAATTCGTTGCCATTATTTTGAAATTTGTAAGGGGTGCGAGAATATATCAGAAGCATTCTAGAGGTGCGGGGTATAGAAAAGGTCTCTGACAACAATGTATATTTGCAAATGGGTATATATGCCAGGCTAAAAGACTTGAGCTGTTAAATACACTATTTAAAATGTTTTGTAATTTTTTCCCTAGGAACAATTAGTTGTGGTAGAATTGTCCGGAATAATCGATTCAGACTTTCTGGAAAAATGTGATAATAAATGCAAGATTTTGGTGAGTGTTTTTAACATAGTACAGATTAATCTATCTTTTTATTAAAAAGTACAATTGTGATTGTATTCAAAATCTTTTGAAATGGCAGGAGTAGTTTAATTTGTTTCTGCTCAATAGAGGGCACAAATGTCATCTTTTACTCAGCCTTTTTTGCTTCTTACAACAAACATTCATTACAATAGACCACATTCTTCCATTCATTACAACAGACTACACAAATTCACATTCTTATTATAGATTTATCCACTGTTATATACAACTTATAGTTATTCATGCCATTTTCCTTATCAAACATAGCTATCTTAGATACATTGATTTCCAGATTCATATTCCTTACTACAAGTTATCTAATATGTGCTGCAAAACCTTTTGACTGTTAGCCAACGAATCAGAATCATTTGTATACAAAAGTATATATACAGTATGTTCATCAACCAACATACATCTAATATCACCAAGTATTCCTTATACATTTGCACAATCAAGGGGACATCATGTATCTTGGCCCTGCTCTTTGTTTTATGATTTACTAAGTATTCTCATGGATACTTTGCTTCCTTCATGTGCCATTGTTATTGCATTTAGCAACCAATCTGCTAAAGCATTCCATAATTGAAACCTGTTTATCATTGTTTTTCTATTTTAAAACATACAGCAATTTTTCTGCTATTTGTAGATTTCTTGGTGTCTTAGGGAAGAACAAAATGCGTTGCTCTGCTCACTTCCTGTTTGCCAAACTCAAATTTAGCTTATTCCATCTGAATTTGGCAGAATTCTCTTCAAGTTAAAACCAATTAGATGTGGTAAATTTTTATTAGTAATACCGGTACCAAAGACACAACCAACAGCCCATTTTATCCAAGCTTACTTATTCTAGAAAGCATATTCAGGGCACTGATGAATACTCATGATATCTGGGTATTCCTGCTCATTACAAATGGCAGTGATAAATGTCTGTCCATGCATAAACATTTTGTAATGACATGTCAATTTTATCAATTTTAGAAATATCACCCAGCTTAGACCATGCTTTGAATCCACTGATTTCCTTTCTCCTAAACGTGCTTCTGTCTTTATGTTTTTAGGGAATTGACACAGAGAGACCTATCTTGCAAATAGACAGATATATCTTTGCTGGAGAATATGAAGGTAAGAAAAGTAACGAATAGCCTATTGTCATGTGTCTGAGTAACGAAACACTTAAAAGGACTTTCAGGCATGTTTTCTCCTAAAAGCATTTATTAATGTTAAAGTACATCANCTTCCGGTTTCTTTCTCCCGGGCTATCCTTATGCTCCTCCCTCTTTCCTAGTTGCTGGTTTAACTATATATATACCAGACAGTTCTGCACATTGTCAAAGCAAGAATATACAGTATTTGCAGCGTTGACATCCGGCCCCCCTTGCAAAAAGGACAGATCCTGTAAAGCAAACCAAAGCATATGTTAAGGGTCATCTTTCAGTTTGTTGGGGTGTTTCACATGAAACCTTTTGACCAATCTATTAGCTTTTACTTCACTGGATTTCACCCAGGTGGCTTCGGACAACGGGTATCCCTTCCATTGTATTAGATACTGCAATTTCCCTCTAAAAATTCTAGAGTCCAGAATACACTTTACTTCATAGTGGGTCTGCCCCGCAACCACAAGGGGCCCAGGTGCCTTCTTCGGAGGAGGTCTTAACGTGGAGCCCCGATATGGCTTCAACAAGCTACAATGGAAAACTGGGTGAATTTTCCCTAAGAGTTTAGGGAGTTTTAGCTCTACGGTAACCGGGTTGATGATCCTTACTATGGGGAAAGGCCCCAAGAACTTTGGTCCCAATTTATTGCTGGGCAACTTGAGGCACAGATATTTAGTTGACAATGCTGTCTGGTTTTCAGCAGAGTTTTCGCTTATCAGGTCTCCATCCATTTTTGGCCTCGCTCCCAGCTGGGAAATCTGCCAGATTCCTCTCTCGCCCGGCTTGCCGGCCTTCGATTCCCCCCCCCCCCCCCGGGAAATCTGCTGCAGTCAAAAAGCTGGCTTCAGACACTTTTTTTTCCTGCATTTTCATATCTTCACCGAGTCTTTTCCAGAACCCTCAAAATTAGAGGGAGTGGGTGGGGCTCGGGACCCCAGATTGTTGTAAAAGGTGTTGAGTTCTAAGCATAATGTCATGTGTCTGAGTAACGAAACACTTAAAAGGACTTTCAGGCATGTTTTCTCCTAAAAGCATTTATTAATGTTAAAGTACATCAGCACGGCATGGTGGAATGCTTAGAACTGCTTCTCTTCCGTTACGCATAGCATTCCAGACATTTTCCACTCCCTTATTGTAGGGTCATGGTTCACATCTTC